TGCAGCTAGCCACAGCTAGCCACGGCTAGCCACAGCTAACTGCAGCTAGTTGCTGCTGCTGCTGCTGCTAGCTGCTGCTGCTCGCTGCTGCAGCTAGCCACGGCTAGCTGCTGCTGCCAAGCGCAGCTATTTGCTTCTGGACAGGCTTAGCTGAGCTAACGCTACTTAGCCGTCGGCAGCAGCTAGCTGCTGCAGCTAGCTGCTGCGGCAAGCTGCTGCAGCTAGCTGCTGCCCAGAACACGCAACAGCTACCTGAAGCAGCTAGCTGCTTCCGACAGCACGCAGCAGCTAGCTGCAGCAGCTAGATGCTGCCACCCGCACGCAGCAGCTAGCTGCAGCACCTAGCTGCTGCCAACAGCACGCAGCAGCTAGCTGCTGCAGCTTGCTGCCGCAGCTAGCTGCTCCAGCTGGCTACAGCCAACAGCACGCAGCAGCTAGCTGCAGCAACCGGCACACTGCAGACACCTGCAGCAATTAGGCGGAAGCGCCTCACCTAAAAACTTGAAATGATTTGAAGTTCAATTATTTTTATTTTTAATTATGTTTGGCACTTAATCAATTTTATTTTTCATTTATTTGACATTTAATTTATTTTGTTTTCCATTTTGTCCTTTTGTCTCCCCAGAAAAGAGACAGCCCAGTTATTAGTCCTACAGAGGGCCCCTAGAGGGCCCCCAAACCCAACGGGGGGCCCCAAGGGGCCCAGGGGCCCCCCTGTAGGCTCCCCGGGGGGCCCCCCAGGGGGGCCCCAGGGGCCTTTCAGTCTCTGGGGGCCCCTGGAGAGCCCCCAGGGGGCTCAGTCCATGGGGGGCCCCTAAGGGGCCCCCCAGAGGCCCCTCAGGGGCCTCCTAGTCCCTGGGGGCACCCCAGGGGGCCCCACAGGGACCGACCTGAGATGGAGAAGCCTCTAGGGGCCCCAGTGCCTACTTGGAGCCCAGAAAGACCATGCAGGGGGCCCTCAGGGGCCCCTGGGGGCCCCAATGGCGTTGGGGGCCCCTGGTGGGGGCCCCTATTGGGGCCCCCAATATAGCCACAGCAGCTAGCTAGCTGCTGCGGCTAGTTACTGCAGCTAGCCACTGCAGCAAACTGCTGCGCTGCGGCTGCTGCTGCGCCTGCCCGCAGTGGGTCCCAGAGGTGCCCTCA